CATCGACCTCAGTCAACAGCTTTCTGATAACTCCACTTTTAAGGTGATACCCAACAGGAAACGCAGGGAAGTTTCTTAAGTGACTACAGGAGTTAGACAAGACTGATTACTGTCACCACCGATGATATTCCTAATTGTCGTTGGCTGGATTACGCCGTATACCTTGAGTGAGGGGAGAGAAGACTGGAATGGGTTAGACCGACAAGAAGACTCTGGTAGATCTGAACTTCTTGGATGATTTATATCGAATGTTATACAAACAGGAATAGTTACAGACGGAAGCCAACAATCTGGTGGAGGAGGCTGGTGGCGAAGACGGGACTTCAGGTGAACATAGAGAAGACGGAGGGGATGAAGATGAACACCAAAGAATCAGAAGCACTAGTCACTACCGAGGGAATAAATTTGAAAGAGGTCACTCCCTTCACCTATCTATGAGGCTTCGTTTTAACTAGAGTCACATGGGATGAGTGAGGATGTCGAAATCAACATCCGAAAGGCGATGTAGACCTTCAGCATTTTGAAATCATGTTGGAAATCTTCTGCACTGTGGAGAACAGAGGAGAAGATTCGGGTTCTCAACAAGTATGTTAAGTCAGTCAGTTGTTTTATATGAGTGAGAAACTTGACGTGTGTGTTTGTGTTTCACGGAAAGCATTTCCAACAGGCCAGTGAGGAATTTTATCAATAGCTGACATTTTCGTTGTTTGACTGCATCCTGAAACTGAGATGCTTGGTAGAAAGAATTAGCAACATGAGCCTGTGGGAACGGATCAACTGCAAGCCTATTGCCGAGGAAATATCGTGGAGAAAACGGTAATGAATCGGGCACACGCTGAGGAGATCATCGGTTGAGACCACATGCCAGGTGGTCGATCGACTAGAACCCGAATTAAACTCGACTATCTTGGTGTCTAAATGTAACATTTAGTAGCTTGTTTAAGAGTATCTGACAGCCTATATGCTTCCGTAGAGTTAGCTGGAGAGGACTTCATTGGTGAGGAAAAACTGGAGATTTACTGCTGAAACTCCTGTTCCTGTCGAAATCCAAGGGATTTCATCATGAGCTGACATCAGTTAGAGAATCACTGGAAAACCTGGGAGTACTGCACAGCTAATTCGTCCTAGTTTGGGACTTAACAGTAGGCACCCGCCACCAGGGTTCGAACCCAGGACCTTCTGATTACAAGGCGTGCTAGCTCGTGGACCATTGAGCCACTGGACCCCGATCCAATGGCCCATGAATTGCTTGGTAATGAAGAGCCCCAAACTAGGACGAAACAGATGTCCAGTGCTCCCAGGTTTTCCAATGGTTTTCTAACCGATATCAGCTCATGATGAAACCCCCCAATCAATCAAACAAAGAAAATCTCTACAAAACCAATACTTGAATATATATATATATATATATATATATATATATATATATATATATTATCGTTGTGATACATTACTAATTTTATTGAATTCAGATACAATATTACATATACTTTTTTATCAGCTTAGAATACAGACTTAGTATATTCTCAGAGAAATTTAAATTCATATTTATTGATTAAACAGTAATTAACTAGTAAAGTCACACAGATAGATATATATGAGTTAGTTGAATAAACAATGCACAGGATAGTGGATGCTAACGCTTTCTTAACTCTCATTACTATTATTTTGCGTCTGACCACTTTTTTTGCCAGTTCTGAAAGATTTTACGACCTACTCACTAAACAACCTGGAAAGGAGTATTCAGCAAAAGAAACTGTCGGATTTCGAACATTTCACGAAATGCATAATCCCCAGTATAGAGAATATGAAAATGGTTTTCCTCCGGGGATTTATGGTTCTTCTGTTATGCCTGTTACTATATGGTATCATTATTGGGGTCGCAAAAATTATGAAGGTATGTAACATACTATGTATAGGCTTTTAGGTAATTATTATGTTTAGAAAATATATTTTAGTGATAAACTTGGTGGAGACAACTAGGGATTTTTTTTATTTTGGACAGCAAAAGTAATTACAAATTAAAAATTCATTCTTCATGTTAAACTGACTGATTTCAGTCTCAATGAACAAGGTTTCCACCGGTTCACCTTTCTCACATATAAATCCAAGAACAATATTTAAGCGGGGCATGAGCTTGGAATCATGTATGTTCCCTTAGTTCATGTTCATTCTTCACTACTAGATGGATTTTCTGGGAAATATCCGATTTGCCGTTTGATTATATTGAGATGGCCTTTTGAGGTGAAAAGCGACAATTTCAAGATTCATTCACAAATAATCCGTTCAACAAGCACATTGTGTGGGTTGATCTCCTCTACAGAGGATTCACCTGGAAAGTACAGTGGTTGAAGTTACCCTATATTGTAACAACCACCTTTAGCTATTTTATACACCTATTCGACTATTATGTTGTGTTTCTGAGACAGATGCACAGATCTTAAGTTTTATCATTCATTTTATCTAATGATGAATGCGAATCATTCAGTGGTTCTGCGTTTAAAATCTCATGAATGAAGACATCCTATTAATTCAAGGAACGGGGTGTACAGTGTACACCTTATTCGAAGCTGACAGCACTTTGTGTACTGTCTTAATAACTGAATACAAATTAGTTTGTAAGGTTTCAAAAAGTGCAGTATGAAGCTGAATTCAAGCTCGGAAACAGCAGGCCATTGGGATTGCACAACACATGCGCGCATCAGTTATTTGACCCGTGCTAAATGAAAATATACGAAGCTACTGCATTTTAGTGTGATATGAGCTGAACATTTTAAATTTGTCATTAACTATCTAGTTTCATTCCTGTGACAGAGTTTTTAAGGATTAAGGACGTTACTTAGCTGTAAAGCTTGGATCGTGAGAATGAAGTATATTCAATAGTTATTAACATTTTAATACGGATTCATCACAGTTTTCTCTGTTGAATGGTAGTTATAATGATGTTACATGTAGGAGAAAGGGGTTGTTCAGTCTTTCTTTACTAGAGTAGTTAAAACTTATGCTACGTGTATTTTTCTTCGTACCAGAATAAATAATGAAAATAAGCTGTTTTTGGTGTTAACTAATTGGATTTTAGACTGCTAGATTTGACCGTACGTGGAGGAGTGGATATCATGGCTGAAGTTAGAGTGACAAAGGAAGTCAGCAGACTGTCACATATCTTTATTTAACCTCAGAGCCCTATGTAATGTTTTCTCACGCTTGGTTTTTTATAATCTGGTTTTCTCACTTTACCTGGATTTTTCGAATATTTTTGTTATTCCTTTTTTGAACATTTCATCTCCTCTTTCTTTGATGTTCCATCACTTCAGGGATTTCAGTTGTCTTCGCAACTTTCTCACTTCCAGCTATTGTCTCAGCTTGTTGATTTATTTCATCACCTCTGTCGTCAAGTTGTTGATAAAGCAACTGTAATTGTACATCTCCAACATTTTTCGCTGAAGTAAAACCAGCGCCAACAGTGATATTGCCCGGAGTGTAGGCTGAGAGAAAACAACACACGGTGATCAGCATTCTGCATAGTATTTGTAAGAGTTCTACTACGGCTTAGAGTGGACCTATACTCTAAACACCCTTACAAACTTCTTCACCGTTTTGGCGACCTGCTAAGCTTAGCAGTACACTACTGGACGCGCAAATACTGACGAACTGTATCGTTGTAAAAAGACTTGATGTGACAAGAGTACCTGGGAGAATTATATTTTATTCGACGAAATATAAAATTCAATAAATAAAGAAGTCGTACAACTTATCTGCAGACGTTGCTGGAGGTAGGCTCGGAGAGTGTGCAGAAGGAGAGCACAACAAGAGAGCGAACCTATGAACGTAAGGAAGACTCACAAGTCAAAAGGTAAAACGTGGATCACCGTGGGTGAGTCAGTTTAAACAAAAGTTCAAAGGTACAATGTGCACTACAGGTTATCCCCCCCCTAGAAGGTTGGTGGGAAACCAGCAAGCTTCGATATACAACAGTAGGATGGCTTGGCACAGTAGCAATGGGTGAATGAGAAGGTTTGAAAATAGCAATAGTAAAAAAAAGAAATTTCCCCGAAAGGAAAGAAAGCAAAAGAAAAGAGAAAAAAATTAAGATAAGTTGGAAGTGGTATGTACATGATTAGTGAAGTAAGACGGAATATGATAAGAAATGGCGCTGGTGCCTTGTGTGGTTGTAAGCTTCTGCGGTCTGATGTTTTTTTTTTATTTTTTTTTTTTTTGTCTTTCATATTTTTATTAATCTTTTTTTTATTTATTTTTTTATTGTATCGATTCATTCTTTTTTTTTTAATTCCGCACTATTACAAGCTTACTTATGTGGAGGTTTGATGGTAAACCTCTGGCGCCGAGGCTGTCGTAGCAAGAAGGTGATTCATTATGTCTAACTTTCATATTAGACCAATGCTCCCTTCCTCCGCTTCAACAGAACCTAGCAGTCATGTTAAAGGCAATCATTATACCAGCGTATGATAAGGAGCAGGGTAAAAAAAAAACAGAAGAAAATGGGAAAGAAAGGTTAAGATTTCAAAATCGGTGTAAAGGTACTACAAAAGCTTGTGCGAAATCAATGCGAGGAAAAGTGGTGCAACTTGGAAGTAGTACGTTAGAATGAGATAAAACAAAGGAAGTTTCTACCCTGTGAGAACTTATAAAATTACAGAGAAGTTAGTACATAACCCATAGCTATGAGTAGTTATCATTACCAAAATTACTTTGTTCATGTTGCTAAGTGCATAACTAAGATGATGCATAATGTTTATAAGTACGGTTCACAAAATAAATGAATTGCGGGAGGGCATAAACCCGAAGGAATATAGTACAGGCTGTGAAAATAAATTGAGCGAATTACTATGTACAGCATAGAAGTGAAGCATTTATGCGCAAAAAAAAATATGTATATCTGTACATTTAACTATACAGTGGAAGTTTTTTTTTTGTTTTTTTTATAATCTTTTTTTTATTTAAAAATAATTTTTTTTGTTTATTTATTATTATTTTACATTTTTTTTTACTTTTTTTTTAAATATATTTTATAAAATTTTTTTTTTACATAATAATTAAATTTTTTTTTTGGAAAGGTAATATACTATTCATAATTCCTCTTTTGGTGTGGGTTACAAGATGACATGAGACGCCAACTGATCTAGCGAGTAGATTGATATGAAAAATTAGGGGTAAAAACAAACTGCTGCTGGTCCTCTGTAACGAGAGATAAAGATTAAAAGGATTAGTGAGGGTTAAAACGACTACTCCCAGAAGCGGGACCAAATAGATTAAATATAGCAGAATTGAATAAGAAATTGTGACAAGGAATAAAAAATCACTAGTAGCCTTACCTATGGATTAGTTCAGTGAAAGAATTCTACGAACCTCTTGGGCCAGTGAACACGTCGACCAGCACGTGTGACCGGGGTCTTACTGGTGACGGTAGGAGAATCATCATTCACCACCGGAGGTGAGGTAGTTGAGTCTGGACAAGGACTAGGTTCAGTGGGGCTATTTGATTGAGCCGATGGGGAGGGTGAAGGTTCTTCAGTGTATGCCGCTTTAAGTCTGTCTATGCTGACAGTGTCTGGGCGGCCGCATCGGTCAATAACGAAAAATTTATCTTTACGACTAAGGACCTTAAAAGGCCCGTCATACGGTGGTTGTAATGGCTTTCGTATGGCGTCGTGACGCACGAAAACGTGTGTACAGTCATCAAGTCGCCGATCAACCTGAACCTTTCGGTTCTGAGTGCGTGTGGAAACTGGTCGGAGTCGCTGCATAAAACTTTTAAGTTGCTGAGCGTAACGGGTGGTATCCGGGAAATTTGGCTCGAAAGTTTCGGGAGCGATTAGCTCGCCTGGTAAACGCATGGTGGTACCGTACACCAATTCAGCTGGCGAGCACTGCAGATCCCCCTTAAGCGTAGCCCGGATGCTAAGCAGGACCAGTGGTAGCGAATCTGTCCACTTACTGTTGTCCACTGCCATCAACGCAGCTTTGAGTTGACGGTGGAAACGTTCTACTAGGCCATTTGCCGCGGGATGATACGCGGTTGTGCGAATGCGTTTGCATCCCAGCATCTCTAACAATTCTTTGAAGCTTGTGGATTCAAATTGTTGTCCGCGGTCGGTAGTGACAGTTGCGGGACATCCAAAATGGGCAACCCAGCCATCCATGAAGGCACGACAGACGGTTTGAGCCGTTACATCTGGTATCGGAATGGCTTCCGGCCAACGTGTGAAACGATCCACACATGTGAGTAAATACGAGCAGCCGTTAGACGGGGGCAGAGGCCCTACTATATCCAGGTGGATATGATGGAACCGAGCGTCTGGGGTCGCAAACGTCCCCAACGGCGTGATGTTATGCTTGGTGACTTTAGCACGTTGGCATTGCACACAAGCACGTGTCCATTGACGCACATCACGGTTCATACCGGGCCACGCAAATCTCGCAGAAATCAACTTGTCCGTTGCTCGTATGCCAGGATGGGAGAGGTTGTGGAGTGACTCAAACACAGTTCGGCGTAAAGACGTGGGAACAATCGGTCGAGGAGTACCAGTTGACATATCGCAAAGTATAGTTGCCTCACTGTTTAGCAAGGGGACGCGTTCTATTTTCAGTGAGGTTTTATTTGACAGGTGTTCTAAGTTCAAATCGTTCAGTTGGAGTTCGGCCATTTTATGAAGATCGATGGTTGGTGGTACGGACGTAGCACATACGCGAGACAAAGCGTCTGCTACCGCGTTATCCGATCCAGAAACGTGCTGGATATCAGAAGTGAACTGGGAAATATAGTCTAAATGGCGTGATTCTCGCGGTGAATACCGGTCTGAAGTAGTGTGGAGGGCGTACGTCAATGGCTTATGGTCGGTAAATACCGTAAATTGCCGGCCTTCCACGAAGTGACGAAAATGCTTGACAGCAGCGTAGACAGCGAGAAGTTCCCTACCGAATGTGCTGTATCGAGATTCGCATGCGGTAAGTTTACGTGAAAAGAAAGCAATCGGTAGCCATACATTAGCCATACGCTGTTGAAGGACGGCTCCGATCGCAGTATTAGAGGCATCTACGGAGATGCTGATTGGAAGTTGAACATCTAGATGGACCAACATTGTGGCGTCAGCAATAGCTTTCTTGATAGCTGCAAAAGCTGTCGAGGCTTCCTTAGTGAACACCAAAGACTTGCATTTCCCTTTAAGCATGTCAGTCAAGGGGGTCACGATATGAGCACACTGTGGGATAAAGCGACGGTAGTAACTAACCATCCCGAGAAAGGTGCGTAGTGCCTTGGGAGAAGTGGGTAGAGGGAAGTTTTGAATAGCTTCTACCCGGTCAGGTAACGGATAAATTCCATCTTTGTCTATCCTATGTCCCAAAAATTTCAGGGAAGTGGCTCCAATCTGACACTTCGGCAAGTTGAGTGTGAGGGAGTGTGTCACAAGTCTTTGGAAAACTGTCTGCAAATGAAGTTGATGAGTGGCTTCATCTGGACTAGCTACCAAGATATCGTCCAGATAGGCGAAGGCGAAATCAAGCCCGCGCAAAACGTCATGTATAAAACGCTGGAAGGTTTGTGCAGCGTTCCGTAAGCCAAAAGGCATTCGAAGAAACTCGAACAGGCCAAACGGTGTAATCACAGCAGTCTTAGGTATATCTTCGGGGTCGACGGGAATCTGGTAGTAAGCCCGTGTAAGGTCCAGTTTGCTGAATACTCGAGCTCCCTTGAGTGAGGCGGTTAAATCGTGTATGTGCGGGACAGGGTAGCGATCGGGAACAGTTTGTGCGTTTAGTCTGCGGTAGTCGCCACAAGGACGCCAATCTAAACCGTTATTCTTAGGTACCAGGTGCAACGGTGAGGACCACGGGCTGCTGGATGGCCTAATAATCCCCATTTCCAGCATATGCTCAAACTCCGCTTTGACAACCTTTAGTTTTTCTGGGGATAGTCGCCTCGGCTTTGCGAAAACTGGCGGGCCAGTAGTGACAATATGGTGTTTGACGTTGGAAGTCGCACATGGCAGGCCGCTGCTAGGTTTGAACAAATCTGAAAAAGACTGCAGTATATGCGAATAAGGACCAGTGCTAGTGGGTGTGGCATATACCGGGCTGAGGGCTGGGCCTTGTGTGACAATACCGCTGACGGAGAGGTTTGTGACAGGATCTTTTAACTTATGATTACCTGTATCTACCAGTAATTGGTAGTGCTGCAATAGATCCATGCCAATTATACCTGTGGTAACGTCTGCCACCAGGAAGACCCAACGAAGTGAACGACGCAAACCGATGTTAAGATCTATAAAGCGCCTGCCGAACGTAGCAATTGGCGAACCGTTTGCGGCTCGTAGTTGAAGAGACATTGGCCGCCTGCGCTCCTCTACTGTGGGTGGGATTACACTGACCTCTGCTCCGGTATCAATTAGGAAGCGTATCCCAGTGTTACGGTCGGTAACATAGAAGAGGCGACATGAGAGTGGTTCGCCAGCGACGTTAGTCGCCAGTACGTGCTGGCTTGCTAGTTTCCCGACTGTTGAACATCGAAGGTGCACGGGCGAGTGCACTTTTGGGCTTTTGCTCCGTAACGTCGATGATACCAGCACACTCCAGGCTGGTTACTTCGGGACTGTCGGCGCTTGCTGCTAGCACGTGGCAAGGGTCTGCTACTGCGCGAACTTGAGGGACTGCGTCCACGACTCCTGGAGTTCATCTCCTGTCGGATACTACAGATCTCCTCGTATAGCTTGGCAATATGGGCCACCGCGTCAAAGCTTGATGACCCCCCATCAGACGAATCTTTAGTCTGAGCGGGAGCAGCAGTTACTGTTGCGGAAATGCCAATTTTGGGATTGATGGCCTCTACGGCTCTATCAGCTGCCTCGGCTATCTCCTGTAAGGGGTACTTGTAGATCGGTGCTAAGATACCCTGGACTGCCTGAGGTAATCTTTGAAGCCAAAGTTGTTTGAGAAAAACCTCGTCAATTTTAAAGTCCGCCACTAGCTGCTTCATCTGCCTCAACATTTGTGAGGGCTTGCGGTCACCTAACTGAACATCGCGGAAAAGTTCCTGCACTTTCTGTTGGTCAGTAAGTGCGACTCGTTGAATTAACGCCTGCTTGAGCCGCTCGTACCGATCCGGAGACGGATCTGCGAGAACGTCAGCCACCTCGTCTATGACACTTTCGGGTAGGCTCACAATCACGTGGTTTACTTTGGTCTCTTGTGAGTGTATGTGTCTAATGGCAAACTGAGCCTCTATATGATTAAACCATGCAGCTGGACGATGTGTCCAGAAGGCGGGGAGTTGCAGCGTTATAGCCATCTCTGACGCAGAACTGTTGTCAGCCATCTTGCACACAGGGCACAATATTAACAAGGTGATAAAAAAACCAATATAAGTACAAAGAAAACAAATCGAATCTTTATAACCGTGCGTGAAAGGAAAAAAAATAACAAAATAAACGGTACGTAAAAAGAATCGTTAACACGTTAAACTACTATAGCGGAAAACGGTGAAAACGGGCTCACCACTTGTAAGAGTTCTACTACGGCTTAGAGTGGACCTATACTCTAAACACCCTTACAAACTTCTTCACCGTTTTGGCGACCTGCTAAGCTTAGCAGTACACTACTGGACGCGCAAATACTGACGAACTGTATCGTTGTAAAAAGACTTGATGTGACAAGAGTACCTGGGAGAATTATATTTTATTCGACGAAATATAAAATTCAATAAATAAAGAAGTCGTACAACTTATCTGCAGACGTTGCTGGAGGTAGGCTCGGAGAGTGTGCAGAAGGAGAGCACAACAAGAGAGCGAACCTATGAACGTAAGGAAGACTCACAAGTCAAAAGGTAAAACGTGGATCACCGTGGGTGAGTCAGTTTAAACAAAAGTTCAAAGGTACAATGTGCACTACATATTCATGATACGACAAGAACGCGTAATATCTCATGGTTTCAACAAAACAAGACTAAATCAAAAAGAAACCGACAAATCATCAAATACTTTCTTCTCTTACTTTGTGTGCTACATGGAGTGTGGCGACTTGAACTTCCTTACATTTGTGCAAAGTTTTATGTCGAAAACAGACAGACAGAGACATGCATGACAACGCAGAGCTATGTTGTGAACTTGTTAAAGTGTAAAAACGTCATAAGGTTAGTTGGTTGGTTGGTTAGTAATTATCATTACCTTTTTCTCTCTATCTTGTCGTTTGAATGAATAGCAGACTGTTTATTGTAGATTTCATCCACTAACCGACATAAGCATTGACATTTCTCTATGCAATTAGGGCTTTAAAAATAACGAGGCGAGGTCGCTTGTGATTATTCAACCATTGGGATGAGATTCAATCATCACGTATGAATTCTAACTGCTGGGAAATAGTGATGCCGATGATCATCGTGGAGACGGCTAGTTTGACATTAGCCGCCAATTTATAGCTGTGATGAGTTAGACATGGTCATTGGATGTGGAAGACATGAAAAGGCCGGTTAGTTGTCTTTGATCATAGGTGTCGGTGTTCCGCTGTTAGCTGGAATAACACATGGCAAGTATTGTTATGGTTGGAAGTCAAATTCTAGTTGGGGAGGTAAAATTAGTCCACGAGGTTGTGAAGTTAAATCGATTGAGATGATTAGTACATGTGTTACGAATGTGTAGCCACCAATCGCCTTCCTTGACGGGTTGGGTGGGTAGTGTTAGCTGCTGGCATGTAATGGATCAAGTTGGAAAAGAGGCAGTGATGGTCAAACGAGAAAACCTGTTTTCGCCGGGCAATGAAATCCACAATAGTTAGTTTGAACTAGCTCACTAGTCAGTCAGGTAGCGATGTGTCGACTGGTGTCTGGTTGATGTCCTCGGGATGGTAGGAAGCAATGATGGCTGGAGACAATTGGTGGTATGGCTCAAAATCTTCTTCGCTCAGTGATGGCTAGCGCAGATGCACTCACTCTTTGTGATTTGTCATATCGAAGAAAACTGGATTGTTCCTTCCATATTACTATTCACTTTACTAGATCAGACTACTGTTCACCATCCGTCTTCTGATGAGTAGTCTCTCTTTACTTTCTTATCTTGGTTTGTGTGCTAGAAGGATGGAAAGTGACAGCAAAGTTTTATGTTGAGACCAGTCAGTCAGTGGTTGATCATCCGCGAAGCACACAGACATGTTATCAAGACTTTGTTTATGCAGCTGTGCCTCCATCTGACAAGTGATAGCCATCGTGATATCAGATGTGTGTGGCATAGAGATGAGGAAAATGAAAAAGGTACTTCTCACCGAATTAGTCAGTCAGTTAGTTAGTTATGGCCTGACACATAATTGATGTGTTATGAATGAATATTGTGTATATGGAATGGAGAAAAGTGAACTGATGTGAACTGAGTTTTCAACGTAGATCATCACTGTACAAAATACAACAGTTCCAACTGGTTACACTTCATAGATAGATGTACACATAAATAAACTGAAATGTCTGAGAGGAGGAATGACGACATCGCGAGAATAATAGATCCTTGATAGATTACAAAAATGTGAGTGAATGTGCATCATTGAAAGTAATTTTGAGCCATCTAATGGAGAATTTGCAGTTCCATCGGGATAGTGAGTCGTAGTCTGCCTCATAGTTGTTCCCCAGAAGGCTGATGGGTGAAAGGATTTGAATCCCACCAGTCACCTGGCCCTGAGCGTAATTCAACCTGAGCAGCTGGGTGGCTAGCAGCATCTGTCTGTCTGTCTGTTTTCGACATAGAACTTTGCACAAATGTAAGGAAGTTCAAGTCGCCACACTCCGTGTAGCACGCGAAGCAAGAGAAGGAAGTACAAGAAAAGCATAATAGAAACAGTGAGCAGAGGTGTGAGACAAAGGAGGAGTAATAACGAAGAACAAAACAGTTTCATTGGAGATCATAAGTCACAGGGAGTGGATGCATCTGCGATAGCCACTGAGAACGATTTTGAGCCATGCCACCAATTGTTTCCAACCATAGATTTTCGCTGTCCCGAGGACCTCAACCTGGAAGTCTATACCTTCCTACGTGGCTTAGACCAACTGTTGTGGATTTCATTGACTGGTTCGGCCAAGTTTTTGTTTGACCGCCGCTAGCTTTTTCCAGCCTAACCTTATATCCGCTAACATTGCTCGTCGAGGGAGGCGATGGCTTGGCATACGTAACACATGTCCTAACCACCTCAGTCGATGTAGCTTCACGACTTCGTCGATTGATTTCCCCTGTTTACCTAGCACTCGACGCCTAACCTCCATGTTGCTCACCTTATTATGCCACTTTACACGGGAAATAGAGCGCAGGCACGTATGATCAAAGACAGCTAGTCTTTTCATGTCTTCCACTCTGAGTGGCCAGGTCTCACAACCATAAAGGAGGACGGAGCGGACTGATGAGCAGTACACCCGCCCTTTGGTCGATAGTCGAACATCTCGTCTACGCCAGAGTCGGCGTAAACTGGCAAATGCGAAACGAGCCCCCTGTATTCGTGCTGAGATTTCGTCAGGGATCAATCCGTTGGGGCTAGCAGCATTGTTGGAAGTCTGTATTTTTTGTCTATGTACATACCCTAATACTTTCGGAGTTGACGACGTTATTAAGTGTTAGAGAGGTAGACTGGCTTTCTTCAGTAATTCTTAGTGTATGTGCTCTGCTGACTGACTGGTCTTGACTGACACCATAGTTTGCGTTTTCACTCGAGAAATAACGTAGTCATCTTGAAGAGTTATTTTGTAGAGATCCGATTTGTTTTAAGTTTGACACCAGTGAAAGAATTATTGGAAAACCAGGGTGATGTACTGGATAGTATGGGACTGTTCAGCAGTACGCATTTATTGGTGTTCCAACTTTCAGGATCATTGATTTTTGGTCACTTGTAGTAACTGAACAAATCCTGGCTACGAATGACATTGGCTGGTGACAGTCGCGTTAAAATTACGATTTGGAAGAGGTTAGAATTCATATGGCAGTGGATTGGATTCCGGTGTCGGAATGGTGTGAGAGCTTGACTTACAACTTTCAGGTGCAGGGTGCGTACTGCTGAGTAGTAATTCGAGTCTAGAGTATAACAACCCCCAGTTGTCACTCCCGGATTCTCCAATGTTTCTCTGAGCTTGTGATAAAAACTGCAATGTAGTCATTAAGTTTAAAAGGGAAGTGAGTGTTTGAAGTCTCATGTGAACAACAATAATAATAATAATAATGTTTAGAAATTAGTGGATAGGTAAAATTGATCCGCGGCAAATTGAATCTCCTGATCTCACGATTGTTCATAGCGGCATAAATGAAGGGTTGAGGAGTTCTCTGGACACAGAGAGAGAGGACGATTTGACAATTTTGGGGACAATTTTTCACCGACAAGTATTCTGATAACACAGATGAGAAATGTACTTAAATGTCAATGGTTATATCTCCACCTATTTTGTTATGTTTTCTTTCTCTCTTTCTTTCTCATAGTGTACTCTGGAGCGTGTACACAGCTTAGAGTTATCATTGAAAGAGGCTAAGGAAGGGGCTATGCGTGATCGTAAACGCTATCAAGTTGAAATTGAACGTATATATGTATATGTATATGCATATATATATATACATATATACGTTCAATTTCAACTTGATAGCGTTTACGATCACGCATAGCCCCTTCCTTAGCCTCTTTCAATGATAACTCTAAGCTGTGTACACGCTCCAGAGTACACTATGAGAAAGAAAGAGAGAAAGAAAACATAACAAAATAGGTGGAGATATAACCATTGACATTTAAGTACATTTCTCATCTGTGTTATCAGAATACTTGTCGGTGAAAAATTGTCCCCAAAATTGTCAAATCGTCCTCTCTCTCTGTGTCCAGAGAACTCCTCAACCCTTCATTTATGCCGCTATGAACAATCGTGAGATCAGGAGATTCAATTTGCCGCGGATCAATTTTACCTATCCACTAATTTCTAAACACATTATTATTATTACTATTACTCACATGAGACCTCAAACACTCACTTCCCTTTTAAACTTAATGACTACATTGCAGTTTTTATCACAAGCTCAGAGAAACATTGGAGAATCCGGGAGTGACAACTGGGGGTTGTTATACTCTAGACTCGAATTACTACTCAGCAGTACGCACCCTGCACCTGAAAGTTGTAAGTCAAGCTCTCACACCATTCCGACACCGGAATCCAATCCACTGCCATATGAATTCTAACCTCTTCCAAATCGTAATTTTAACGCGACTGTCACCAGCCAATGTCATTCGTAGCCAGGATTTGTTCAGTTACTACAAGTGACCAAAAATCAATGATCCTGAAAGTTGGAACACCAATAAATGCGTACTGCTGAACAGTCCCATACTATCCAGTACATCACCCTGGTTTTCCAATAATTCTTTCACTGGTGTCAAACTTAAAACAAATCGGATCTCTACAAAATAACTCTTCAAGATGACTACGTTATTTCTCGAGTGAAAACGCAAACTATGGTGTCAGTCAAGACCAGTCAGTCAGCAGAGCACATACACTAAGAATTACTGAAGAAAGCCAGTCTACCTCTCTAACACTTAATAACGTCGTCAACTCCGAAAGTATTAGGGTATGTACATAGACAAAAAATACAGACTTCCAACAATGCTGCTAGCCCCAACGGATTGATCCCTGACGAAATCTCAGCACGAATACAGGGGGCTCGTTTCGCATTTGCCAGTTTACGCCGACTCTGGCGTAGACGAGATGTTCGACTATCGACCAAAGGGCGGGTGTACTGCTCATCAGTCCGCTCCGTCCTCCTTTATGGTTGTGAGACCTGGCCACTCAGAGTGGAAGACATGAAAAGACTAGCTGTCTTTGATCATACGTGCCTGCGCTCTATTTCCCGTGTAAAGTGGCATAATAAGGTGAGCAACATGGAGGTTAGGTGTAGAGTTCTAGGTAAACAGGGGAAATCAATCGACGAAGTCGTGAAGCTACAAAGACTGAGATGGTTAGGACATGTGTTACGTATGCCAAGCCATCGCCTCCCTCGACGAGCAATGTTAGCGGATATAGGGTCAGGCTGGAAAAAGCTAGCGGCGGTCAAACAAAAACTTGGCCGAACCAGTCAATGAAATCCACAACAGTTGGTCTAAGCCACGTAGAAAGGTGTAGACTTCCAGGCTGGGGTCCTCGGGACGGTAAAAATTTATGGTTGGAAACAATTGGTGGCATGGCTCAAAATCGTTCTCAGTGGCTATCGCAGATGCATCCACTCCCTGTGACTTATGATCTCCAATGAAACTGTTTTGTTCTTCGTTATTACTCCTCCTTTGTCTCACACCTCTGCTCACTGTTTCTATTATGCTTTTCTTTTACTTTCTTCTCTTGCTTCGCGTGCTACACGGATTGTGGCGACTTGAACTTCCGCACATTTGTGCAAAGTTCTATGTCGAAAACAGACAGACAGACAGGGGGATCAGACTGGTTGATATTGTATCTAGGATACTTTGAGAAATGAAACAGTCAAGCATACAGGCTGCAGTTCTAGGCAAAGGTGTATTATCATTCCCACTTTATCCAACAGGTTTTGAGGACAAGCTTGTTTTTTAGAGTCCAGTATTTGACATATTTCTTGGCCTACACGTTGAATTTGACTTCATCTGACTTTTTGAGAAATGATGTTGACTTATTCCAGCAGACCTACTCGGGTATGTGCAACTGTTTTGAGGGTATATGGAAAGTTGTGTTCGGTTGGCGATGATCAATGTGCTTGCACTAAGAACGCTCACTGTCACTATCTGTACCTAATTTAGTTTGATGAATGACGTATTGGTGTTTCTTTTACATTGGTGTCAGTAAGTAATTGCAAGTAATTCTTTTACCTCTCGGTACTCGTCAAAAAGATATACCGTCAACATCGGAGAGAGCCTGTGAT